CGGACACCGCGGGGTGTTGGGAGCTGAGACCCGGGTCGAGCGCCACTGAGCTTGGGCTGAACGTGGAGTCGCAGGTGTTTCGGTTCTTGAGGACCCCCTAAGTATCGTCCTTGTGGAGCCGAGGGAGTGATGTGTGTTTAGAAATTTATTTCCTGGAATGGAGAAACAAACTGTCCTATTCTTGTTGCAGTAATCTTTTGTGGTCCACCACCGAGTCAGTTTAGGTAGAGATCATCTTTGTGAATTTTTTTTTTTTTTTTTACCACTTCTTGTTTTTTTTTTAAGTTGTTAATGAATAAATTAAGATATACTCTAAATGCCTCCTAATCTTCACTGTTATTCCAAAGGCAATCTGTTTTTCTAGACTTTTTTTTTTCATGCAGGAGAGTTACTCTTAACTATTTATCCTGCATCACCTTTGAGAGTTGGAAGTTGTAAAAATAGTATCCTGGTGGCTAGCCCCTTCTTTTGAGAAAGGGACGCAAACCTTTAGTATTGATGTCAGTGATTTCCAAAGGGGGGTGAGCACACTTTGTGTTAAAAAAGTGGGAGTGCAAGATGATCCACTGGTGTGTGGGTAGAAGATAACGTATTTTGTATTTTTATTTCTATTTATTTTTACCCAAAAAGGGAAATGTGCTTTACTAATTTTAACATAGAACTTGACATTGGCGTATTATGATCTTCAAACGAGTTACTCCTACTCCTGGGAGTAAGTGGGATTTTTTTATTTTTTAACGTAATGAAAATTGATTTGCTTGAAAACTTGCCTGAGTTTCCTTTGGCATCTGCCACTTTATAATTCTACTCCTCATCGGTTCTTAAATTTACAAAGAAAGTTTAAGGTACCTAAGGAAGGTAAAGCCTCTTTCAAAGATTAGTCAAGATAGCGTAAACCCGTGGGGCATTAAAAATTTCTCTACCTTTTACATATCTTCCTTTGGTTGAAGCTTGCTTTAGAAATGTGGTGTTTTTACTACTATTGGGATGCTCTGAATTCATGTATATGGTAGAGTGGAGTGGAGAGAGTAATACATTTTCATTTAGTCAAAGAATTTGCTACTTCCTTATCCCTACTTTGTCAAAGACTGATTGTATTTGATGGAGAGTTCCACAAGAGAATAAATAAAATATTTGTATGTGTTTTGAACGTTTAAATACCCTTTTCCGTTTATTTAAACATAAACACCTCTTTTCAACTGGTCTCCTGCTCATCATTAATAGCTGGAAAGAAAAGTACTCTTAAATAGCTGGAGCAGTATAGATTAGAGACATTGATTTTTTAAAAATGTAATGGATGTATTTTAAGATACATTAGATAAAATTTAGGGATAAAACTTTCATGATTTCTTTACTTGTAGGATATTAATGACATAGTTAAAACTTTAATCAATTGCATTAATTATAGTCAATCTGCACCTTATTGTTTCTTACATTCTTCTAACAAAATATAAAATGTTAGCTGCTAGACCTATTTCCTTTGATGGTATACTTTAATCTAATGAAGTACGTGATTCATCTCTTTAGAAGATGAATTCCAACAAATGTTTAGTTTCTTGTTTAATGTTTACCAAAATTATGTTATTCTCTTTTTTTACTAATTGTATACAAATAAAAATTATAACTCAGTCTAAAGGAAGTTTTTTTTCTTTGTTTCTCACTTTGGTTACAGGAAATCAAATCTAAAATTTTAATTTATGTACATATTTTTATTGTATATATTATGTATTAAGGTCATCAGTATTTTCAAGCATAAAAATACATTTTAAGCATAAAAATATTACAGGGATAGGATATTCATGGAAGAAATAAAATAAGAAATAAGTTCAAAGAGTAAAATTTGTAAATTTTACAGAAGAGCCTTTTCATGTCTTTTTAAAAATGGAAGGGAGCAGATATCTGATTATTGTTGTATGTAGATGACAAAGGATACTTTCTTTGTAAAACTTTCTTTGTAAATGTCAATATTTGCAATATGTTAGGCATTGCATTCTTTATAGCTATCTAAACTTACAATAAAAACTTTATATATCAACATAAGATATGGGAAAAGGTATATACTTTTTCAAAATTCTTTTAAGAGGAGGGAAGCAAAACATTTAAAGAACACTGACATGTGGTCCTGGTGGTATCCTGAGGGATGAGGTGCAGTTCTATACCTTGGCCTCTCACTCGTTTCATTTCAGCCTATTGTGACTTATTATAGTTGATATGTGCAGGGTTCTCCAAGGTTACAGATTATATGATTTAGTTTTAACTAAAGTAACCCTCACAAAAAGAATAAGTAATTTGAAAATTTCTGGGAAGAAAACTGATGTTACCAAAGAGTCAAAAACATTCAAACCAACACGAAAATGACATAGCTGACACTTTGTTCAAGCCTTTCTTATCACATTACCAAGTAAGAACAATGATGATCTAATGATTAATTTTAACTCCTTTGAAACTCTCAAGAAAATAACTTGAAATTTGAATTTATATAAACTGTTTTTAGGGCTTAAACTTTTTGTCCAGGGCCCCCGTTCTCCTCCACATGGGCTGTTACACATGGCGCTTCAGCTTCATAGCATGTTGGCCATGTTCTAAGAGAGAGAATACTGCCAGTCCTCATAAAATCTTAAGCCTGGAAGCGACATGATAAAGTGGAAACGGGCCCAGCCCAGATTCAAGGAAGTGGAGAAGTAATGTCTGCTTTTGGATGGGATGGGTACTAAAGAATTTGCAACCATCTTTAATCTCAGATTGTTGCATTTGGGAAAGTTAATTCTGCAAATCAGGAAGGGAAGATAAGTTGAAGGTTATTCCTAAGGACAGATTCTTCATATAATACTGCTTGTCTGACTTTCATAAAAAAACAAGTTGTGCTTATCCTTCATGGCACAAATGGAGATGCCACAGTAGAGGATCCACAGCCAGTCTTTTGGCACCATCTCTATATTGGCTTTTCACTAATGTGCTTATATTTAGTTTGTCCTCTCTTTTCATAAAAAGGTTTTTCAGTTTTCTTTGAAGCTTAAGGTGAAGAAGGTCTCCAGTAAGCCTTAAATTTAAATTCTTGGGTATGTCCTAGGCCTT